AATTCTACTACCAGTCCTTCATCACCTTAGACGAAATAGGGTGAATACATCTCATTACACTGATTTATTGATAGTCTCGAAACCCTACTTACTAACGAATATCTGTTGTCTGTCAGAGTATTCCTTTAATCATTCATCAATGCACCTTTTTTCGGTCAACCTATTCTATTCTATTAATCTATTTTTCTTCCTGTGCATCTGCCCGAATCTCATTTTGTCATTTTGTCATTCGTCCATCTGCTTCCCTCTTCGCGTCGCTACTCCTTAATTTCTTTGTTGCATCAACCGTACATATGCATCCTCTGCAATAGCTACAAAGTTGTACATCTTTTTTGCGAGTTTGGCGCCGACCCGTTCGGATGGCTCAACAAGTCCGGCCAGAGTGCTTTTGAGCTGGCCGAAGAGCGTCGTGACGACCGGATGCTCGAGCTGTTGCTTGGTTACGCTGACCGACACAAAGACAGTACTGCTGCCGTGTCGAAAGACACTGCAACCTTGGCGGAAGAAGCGTCTTCTGAGACGGACAGCAACTCAAAGGAGAGCAGCAACGCTGGAGGCGGATTTCGCCGAGCAGCACTGGCTGGCTGTCTGGAGCGAAGCAAATCCAGCCTGAGTGTCGATCAGCCTGTACGGCGGATGGGTCGGATACACCATCCAAAACACGAATCCACTGAGCAGACAGGGCAGCGGTTGCTTCGTAACCGGCGCTTTGGAATCACATCAGGCAGCAACACACTGCCTTTGCTGTCTGGTCGGGCAAGGCGGAGGCTGGCTTACGAGAGATGGGATCGGCTGTCGAGAGATGGTACACGAGCATTGTTTTGCCGCATTACAATATAGTTGTTAATTTCATATTAGTGGTACTCTCGAAAGTTATTCAAGATGACCCTAACCCTAACCCTAAGCTCGAGTCCTGTTGAGAGTGATGATGAGGGGATGAGGCGAGGTTAAGCGAAATTCTGTATCATAATTAGGTCTACTCACTTTGTTCTGACTGATTCCGTTGCCATTTTCTGGCATCACTTTGGGTGACCCAGGACAATTAGAGCTTTCATGCATGACCTACTGATCATGTTGAAACATGCTTGCTGAGCATATTGAGCCCCTGGCCACCTTTTTGCTCCTATTCAGTGCTAGCTCGACGGGCTTTCTGCCATGAAATTTCTTCAAGGTGCTGGAATGAGATGCAGTACTTCTGCTCTTTGCAGATCTTCTTGATCTCCACTCTTTAATCCTTGCTTAGACATTTACTCCATCATAGTTGGGCAGACGGCAGCCGGCAAGAGCAGTGTAAGGTGACGTAACTTTCCATTTCGAAGACAAATTTGGTTGGAAGGAATTCGTGAAATGGTCTCTCTGAGACTCGAATGGGGACTGGCGCGTAGTTGGAGATTGTGTTGTGCGAAGAAATCCTTCGTCTGCACTGGGACAGACATCATCAGAGCACGAATGCATACTTTACGGAATAGAGCAAAAATACACTAAACCAAGAGAAAAGGTTAAGTGTATTTTTGCGCTATTTCGCAAAGTATGCATTCGTGCTCTGATTATGTCTGTCACGGTGGTACAGACGAAAGCTGATCGGGTCACCGGACACTACAGCACTTCCCTACGAGACAATCCTCTTTCGGTTTCTGGTGAGACCACACCATGAATTCCTTCCAATCAACGTCCACTTCGAATTGGAAATTCATTTCACAATTGGTCACCAAGACATTCTTCGAAACTCAGTTTTTCTGCATATCTTTTCAGTTGGATTTCCCACAGTGGACTGCAGTGCTATGAGCGAAGTATGGCTAGTTTCGAAATTCACGTCTTCTCTGTGACCCACTGACACCCGTGGGCATGTGGGGCATCGACAACATATCGAGATTGTACACGTGGGTTCTATCCTCGTTGGTGGTAGTGATGAGACGAGTTGAGGTGAGGTCGAACTTACAGTCCACTCTGGACGAGAAATCCATTGGCATTGTGTTGAAAAGATACAGTTCTTATGCAAGATCTACCGGTAGTTTCGAGACCTGATCTATCGCGGCAAGAGCAAATGGGTTGCTTCGGACCTCCTGATATGCCATTGTCGTATTTGTCTTTATTTTGTGTGGAAGTGTGCAGTAAGCAGTTGGTCTATGGTACGACCTGTGGCTGCATTTTGATTGTATTGTGACGTTCAAGCCAAAGCCGTCCTTCAGACCTACTGCGTCTCCAGTGGATGCTTTCTAAACTTTATCTTGACAAATCCAAACCGAAGGGGTTACACAGCTTCGCCCCAAAAGAAGTTCAGTCAAAAAGGACTCAAAATATGAGGAAATGTGACAAGGTGTACACTTGAGACTCGCTAAATAGAGAACTTGACCTCTGTAGCTCCTAATTTTGTCAAGCGGACTTGGTGAATCTGCGGCAGATTGTACCGATCTGGAACGCTAAACGAGTAGGAACCTGTTCATGATTAGCCTGAACGGTCGTTGGCGCTCCACATGCCAGAATCCAATTGCATCTAAAGCATCATTGTGTGTGTGTATTTTGGTGTGTGCATGTGTGCTTACGAATATAACCCTGAGTTCAGCGATCTTTGCAATACTTTGTTTCACTGTACTGGTACTCAAGCCCAGGAGAGAGACCGTATGACAAGGAATTTGTATGGAGAAAATTGTTGTGAGGACGGCACACAAGGGCAGTGTGTAAGTTCGACAATAAAGAGTGCAGACATTCCCATCAAACAGGCAAATGCCGCATTAAAAGTCACTTTGGTTGCGAATATAAATGTTTTATTTATTTTAGATACTAAAAGAGACTCGGTTTCCATGAATCTCCTCTGGGATAGCAGTTCTGGGGTGACTTTCATTTCGTGTGTAGCGCACGAAGAAGAGATTCGTAAGTCAATCTCATCAGAGGACGCATGAATTCCGTTTGGCTTTTAGACAACGTTCAGGTGGACGCCGTCTACGAGACCGCCCCCCTCGTTTCTCGTGAAAACGGGTTGAACTTTTGTCCAGAAGAAGGCCAGTAAGTTTTAATGTTGTGTCTAGGTGCACAAACATTCCTGTTCAAGGAGCTATTCAAGCTCTGATACAAACTCTTGAAAAGCATACAGAGATGGCACAAGGAATAGGCCTTACTAA